TTTGCATTTGATGTCATGTCCATGATGCTCACTCAAGACTACAAGACAAGTTTGCCCAAAGTCCCTTGTTCGTTCTTTTGAAGGACTAAGCAAAAGGAGAAAAAGATGGGGTTATTTTGGCGATGGAGATTAAGGCAGAGGGGGGCTTTTTGTCATTTGTGCGAGACAAGCCATTCATCCATCCCCCGTTCAGAGCCCAAAAAAAAGGCTGGTCCCAGAAATTAGCAGTTTCAGCTCAGCAGCAGAGGCGTCGGGCTGTGAAGGAACAGAGAAATTGACTAATTAGCAATGCGCACTAAAACTTGACGGTTCTCTCTATAACGCAGAGAAAGAGAGGAAAGACTCGCCTTTTCTCCTCTCCTCTTTTTCCATAGATGTTTGAAATCGCAGTCATTTACGCTCGACAGTTTTTACAATAGCCTTGAGCCATAATTTTGCGAGTCTCTCCAGCATCCATACCCCTGCGCGGTCTCTCTCCACCGGCCATGCGCGTCCGTTTCTCTCCCCGACCGTGGATTTCCTATTACTCTCGTTACGACTCACTGAGCCCCAGGCCCAAGGATAATGATGTGTTGTTTCTTGGTAGCATAATTTGTCACACGTATATTTCTTCTTCTTCTTCTTCTCTTGCAGAAAGCACACAGCCCCTCTCACACTCACACACACTACTTCTTCTTGTTAATTCAGAGGAAACATAAATGATCAATGAGCTTGAATGAGCGGGGATCAATGGTTAGGATTCTGATCCATCGATCATAGACTTTTCCAACAGGACTGAACAAAGAAAGTGCACTGAAGGAGCCGCAGCTTTACTTTTCTTTAAGTCAGGTAAGTTTCGGATACCTATTACTAGTATTCGGCACGGGTGCGCACTGTGCGTAAATGTGCCACGGGCTGAAAGTTGCCGTTTCGTCTGCTGTTCTGCCTCAGATTGGGCGAGAAATACCGCGCGTGTTGTTGAACGGAGCGATTGCATTGTGTTGTTGCCGACCAAAGCGATGCGCAACCGCACATCTATGGTGGTGATGATGCTGATGTTGCGGGAGACAAACTAATTGCTTTTGTATCGCATATCGGGGGGAATGTGTGCACGCATTTATATCTTGTAGGGGGGTGTGTGTGTGTGTGTTTGCGTGGCCGGATAACAGATAGCGGGCAGTTTGTAGGCTAGATCGTGTGCTTTGCTTTCCAACAACCGAGCGTAGTTTGTTTCAGCCCGCAGCGACCATTGGATTTGACGTGCTCACGAACGCATGCATGAGATATATAGATGGGAATGCAAGGATGCGTGTGGTTGGTAAATGCATATGCTTGCATGCTGCAAACTTAATGTATTTGCATGCATGCACGATATATATACCGTAGATATATATGCACAAATCCAACTTGCATGCATGCATGAATGAGATACCTTCAGAATGCTTATGCTTTTATAAAACCGGCTGATGCAGTTCCATGCAGTGTAGTGCACCAATGGCATTGTTTACTCGCAGGAAGTGTGCGCAGCCCCGAAGTCATGTCCAGATCGGGTGACCGAACCTCCACGTTTGACCCGACTCACAGCGACACTCTGCTGCACGGTCTGAACCTGCTGTGGAGGAAGCAGCTCTTCTGCGATGTGACTCTCACGGCGCAGGGACAGCAGTTCCACTGCCACAAAGCCGTGCTGGCGTCCTGCTCGCAGTACTTCAGGTCCCTGTTCTCCACGCACATGCTGAGCAGAGAAGACGGGCTGGCGGCGAAGGACCAAGGCAGCAGCGGCACCCCATCCTCCTCCCCCGACGACAAGCTCCTGCCCAGCCCGCGATCCACCATCAACAACCTGGTGCTGCAGGGCTGCTCCTCCATCGGTCTACGGCTGGTGCTGGAGTACCTCTACACGGCCAACGTGACCCTCTCCCTGGACACGGTGGAGGAGGTGCTCTCCGTCAGCAAGATCCTCAACATCCCCCAGATCACCAAACTCAGCGTGCAGTTTCTCAACGACCAGATCTCGGTGCAAAACTACAAGCAGATCTGCAAGATCGCAGCTCTGCACGGGCTGGATGAGACCAAGAAGCTCGCCAACAAGTACCTGGTGGAGGACGTGCTCCTCTTGAACTTTGAGGAGATGTGCGCCATGCTGGACGCCCTGCCTCCGCCCGTGGAGTCGGAGCTGGCGCTCTTTCAGATGTCCGTGCTGTGGTTGGAGCACGACAGGGAGACCAGGATGCACTACGCTCCCGACCTGATGAAGCGCCTGCGTTTCGCCCTCATCCCTGCCCCAGAGCTGGTGGAGAGGGTGCAGTCGGTGGACTTTATGAGGAGCGATCCGGTGTGCCAGAAATTGCTCCTGGATGCCATGAACTACCACCTGATGCCCTTCAGACAGCACTGCAGACAGACCACAGCCAGCAGGTAGGATCTTCTTCATCGTCTCAACATATTTCTGTATATTTTTGTGGCTTTTGGGTGAAGAGTAGTGTTTTTATTTTTAAAATCCATTTTTTAACATGTAAATTTAACCAAGGGGTTGTGTGCATGGAAGTGTTAGATATACAAGAAAGACAAATAATGTTAAGTACTTGTATTTTAACAGTTTTTTTGGGTAGAACCAATTTGAGTTAGGAAATTTCAAACAGAAGAAAAGTTGAGTTTGTTTTCATCCTTTAGGTTGTTTATGTGAGACATGAGTGTGTAAATATAAAGCACTACACAATACTCTGTGCACGTGATCATGGCAGGCTTGACAGGTGTCAGTAAACTGATCAATCTTGTTGGTAAAGATCTCATACATTCTTTCGTGCCGTGTAGTTAACTTGTTAAGTGAATTAGATTAGATTAGCAATCGTTTGTTGCAATATCTGATCCATATTTGTTCACACAGTTTCCACGCTTTGCCTTATCTGTGAGATCCTCATTCTATTCCTCATAGTACTGTTTCAAGGTTGATTAATTTCAGCACTGTTGCAAGCTTGCATACTGCAGACAATATTGCAGTCTGCAGATGGGATAATTAGCAGGAATAGGTGACCGTGGAATAAACGGGAATCAGTTGTTGGAGAATAAGAGAGAGAGATTGTTTGCAATGAGATATTCTCATTTTAATAGTCTCTTTTTGGAATTTTGGACTCAGGAATTAAGATGTTATGAACGTCAAAAGGGCTTGATATGTTTACAAGTATGCATTTGCTAATAGAATTAGACTGATAAATTGTTTGATTGTTATTATTTGGCAATCACTTGTCACATTGTTTATCAGCTCTCTTCACCTGTTATGTTATGTCACCTATTTGCTGAGCATCATCCATGAACTTGAATAAGATGGAATCAGGGAATGACTCTATTGGTGTGTCCTGATGATGATACTAGTGTTGAAGACTGTGTAGTTTCATTGTACAAGGCTGGAGTTGTCCATTTATTTCCCATGCTCAGTCTTGCAGAGCTGAAGGGATTGTAAATATTGAACACCCAGATTTTAAAGCACTTATTCAATCTAAGATTTCAGTTGCACAGGCTAACCCCAAGGTCTCTAAACTGATCATATTGCAACTACATTTTTTTTACTATTGATTTGAAATTAGTTGATTTGTTTAATTAAATTATTGATTGACTGAATGGATGGATGCATATTCAGCCAAGGTATTCAAAAGCATTTCATTGTTGACAGCAGTCACATGCACAACTTTGGCCAATAGGATAAGAACACATAAAGGAAGAAATGAGGCTGTCAAGACCTTAACATGGCTTGAATCACAACCACACGTCTGATTTTGTCACTATAAGAGTTTGTGGCCTTTACAGATAATATTTAAAGCAAATAGCTATAAACAAACATGAAATGTGGCCAAATGCAAACAATGCATTATATGTTGCTTAATATATTTGTGCTTGTGTTAATTTCACAATTTAAAATGAGACTTCCAACAAAGAGTTATCACTAGTAACTAGACCTAAAAAATACATCCTGCATTAGTGTGCACTTGTGCATCGCACACACAAATCCTAGAGAAACATCATTGCAGTGGGGCTAATTGATTCTATAACTTAAAAATGAAGTAATTTCTCTTTTTTCCGTTCATTTGAGAGTGATGATAGAGCCGTTCAGCATTAATATTCTCCCATGTTCTCTGCTCGGCTTGCTGTCTCCCTCCTTGTGTTTGTACATGCTTTTACCTTGTTGTGGCATCTCATTCAATATGTAATTGCTCTGCACTAATAACGGCTAATGACAGAATTGTTAATGAATCTGTTTCCCCGTCCCTCTGTAACCCAGGATTCGTTCAAACAAACGGATGCTCCTGTTGGTTGGAGGCCTGCCCCCGGGTCCCGACCGCCTCCCCAGTAATCTGGTTCAGTACTACGACGACGAAAAGAAGACATGGAAGATCCTTACAAGTGAGTGCCTTGCTAGCATGGTATTTTCTCTTCCACAGGAAGAACCCTGCCCGTGTTGGGTTGTGCTCCATCGCAGAGCAGAATAGAGCGAGAGCTTCCTGAGATGCAGGAGGTAATGATGTATCACTATCACTTTTAATGTAACTTTTTAATCAGAGCGTGACTGCCTTCACACCATTGTGGAGCTGTAACGCCTGGATTCGCTTGTGTGTGTTTTTTATTTTTATGCCTCTGTCTTTTTGCATAAGCGTGCCGGCAAGATTAATTTTAATCTAATGATCTCGGGAAGATTCATCATCAGAAGATGACACGTATTCTTATTGAACTGCTTTATTAGGGCAAACATTCTCGTAAGTGCATTTGTCTTTGCGAGCAGCAGGGAAGGAATGCGAGCCGTTTGCGTGCTGCCAGTAGTTTGTCGTGTGTTTTGGCTTGACGAATTAGAATCAGAATTCTTAGAAGGATTTAAAAGACAACAATGGAGATCAAATGTGTTGGAACCTTGAGTACTCACAAAAATGATGTCTTAGTAGTAGGGATGTAACGATTAACCGCGAGCCGGTTGAAAATTGATTCAAATACGTGACGATTCAAATCGGTTGAGATGCTAAACAAATCGCGATTCAATTAGGGGTAGGAGTTTATATGAACGTATGTCTGAGGGGAACTTACTGTCTTTAGAAAAGTTTACGTGGTATTTTTTCTTTTCATCTTGCCTCTGTATAACACATATTAAAGTTCATAAGTGCAGCGCTGCTTTGTTTACAGCGGAAACCAAGGAAACGCTTTAAGCGCCACCTGCTGGCAGAGAGTGAATCTGCATCTCATTCAGCTCCTCTGCTGTTTCGGTTTCATGCAGAATCGTGAGTTGAGTGAATCGTTACATCCCTACATAGTAGTGTAATCTTGGAATGGAATATGTCATTTTAATGCTCAGACGTTGTTCTTTCATAGCTCAGGAGACTTGGAATGGAGATCCTAATTATTGTGATTCATTTGAGACACAACTTTTTCTCAAATGCTTCTCCTAAAACCACAGAAAAAATTTAAAAGACACAAAAGAGCCAATGGTTGACATGTTGATAGACAGAGGAGACACAAGTGAGATTTCTGTCTTTTGATCAGGAGATAAAAGAAAAAGTGTCCATTTGCACTTATTTTAGTTTAATTTCTGTCTAAAAGAAACAATTAAAGTGATACTCCACCCAAAAATTAAAATTCTGTCATAATTTATTCATGTCAGTTCAAAACTGTACAGCATGTCTTTCTTCTGTGCATAAAAAAAGATATATTTTTGTTGTTTTTTGTCTATGCAATGAAAGTACAGTATTGTTTGGTTCCCAACGTTCTTAAAAATATCTTCTTTTGTGTTCCAGAAATTCATACAGGTTTGAAAAGACATGAGGGACAGTAAATAATGACAGAATTTTCATTTTTAGGTGAACAATGCCTTTAAGATATTAATTCTGCTCAAACTCAATGTCTTGAGTTCATACTGATTGCAGACTTTGATGTCTTAGCAAATCTGAGCGCAGTTGGAGACATTGTTAAGGTTTCTTGTGAAACTATAGAGGAGATTTCTCAGGTGAAACATCGGAGAAGCTGGAGACAGATCTCATTTGCTCTACTTGTAATTTCACTGCTGTCTACAAGAAACAATCGAGGCAATAAAGAGATCTCCTTGGTGATTTTTCTTTCCTATGCATGTTTTCCTTGAAACAAATAGTCAGTTTATATACAGTAATATATCAGTCTAAAGTAAAGCCTCTTGCTTGTGATTCCTGCGGCTAACTGTTAGCCTCAGAGCTAGCTGTTGATGGTTTAAACGGCGTGTACAGAACTCAATTAGTACAGAATCAATCACTTACTGTCTGTAAATGTGTCAGTTGCACTGTTATGTGTATATGACAAGCTCCAGGTGGCTTGTGGTATAGCAAGAGCCTCCTCACTCAAAATGCTTGGAGTTTGTTCTTCGAAATCGTAGCAGGTAATGTTATGCAGAGAATCTTGGCAAGGGGAAACTTTTTGAAAGTCCAGTGTCATAGCACTTTTTAAACCACATAAATGGAGTATAATCCTAAATTAAGTATATATAGCTCAATATAGCATGCAATAACTCAAAATAAGTTAATTCTTCAAAAATCATTCTAATAAGCTGATTTGCTGCTCAAGAAGCTTTTATATTATCAATGTTGAAAACATTTTTGTGGGAACCGTGATACACTACCATTACATTGCTAAAAAGTGACAATAAAGATATTTATAATGCTACAAAAGATTTCTATTTTAAGCTATTTTCAACACTGATAATAATAAGAAATGTTTCTTGAGCAGCAAATCAGCATATTAGAATGATTTCTGAAGATCATGTGACACTGAAGACTGGAGTAATGATGCTGAAAATTCAGCTTTTCATCACAGGATATAAATTACATTTTAACAGATATTCAAGTAGAACAGTTATTTTAAATTGTAATCATATTTCACAATTAATGTTTTTACTGTATTTTTGATCAAATAAATGTAGCCTTGGTGAGCATAAGAGACTTCTTTGAAAAACACCATAAAAAAAGTAGTGTAGCAACTAGCCAAGACACAATGTATTATGATTTAATTAAAATGATTCTATAGTGTCTGTTCCTTACCGAGGCAAAACAAGGACATAAACGGACGTGCAGTCATTTTGTTTTATGGCTAAAATTGCGTTCAGTCATCCAATCACTGCATCGCTGAGGTGTGAGACCTACAAAGACACCTTAAGCTCTGAAACCTGCTTATAAGCGTTTGGCAGCACGCATAACATTCATTAATGAATTACATCTGGATCTATATAACTTACACTCATAAGGTCATAGTGTAATGTCCTTTATTTCTGCCTCAGACGTCGAGTCTTAAATGGCCCATGGCCAGGCGGAGCGACCAAACTGCAAAATCATCCTGTGAACACACCAGCAGCCCCTTGATGTCGTTTGGGGTGTGCAGGTTATTAACATTCAATCATAACTTTGCAATGAGCCGAAACCCAAAAGGGGGGGAACGGCGACTGATTAAAACCTTCATCAGCACTATTTAGGATGGTTCTCACGACTGGCTGCACCTCTCTGCTTCTATGGCTTTCTGCTCTGTGGTGAGACTGCCACCTAGTGCACACAGTGTGCTATGGTCAAAACGAGAAGATAAAAAACAGTTGTGACAAGTTTAAATGTGTTGATTATTCCATATATTATATATTGTGCCCCTTTATGCCATTTTTTATTCCTTTTTTTTTTTTTAGATGTGTTACAACATGTTTCATTTTAAACATATTTACACGAAGAAAACAAATTAAGAATTTTTTTGAACTGCATAAAGTCTTTTAAGATGTATTATTATTTTCATGACAATGAACCACTTTTCCATCAAATCAAAATAATTGATTTTTTTTTAGCTGAAATAATTGTATTTTTTAAAATATATATTTTATTTTATTTCAGTTAACATTTATTTTGTAACAAAGTAACTAACCATTTTTAAAATGGTTTTAGTTTGGTTAACTAAAATATCCCTGCTATGAATTCACATACAAAATTCAAAATTTACCTTAATTTACCCTATATAATTTTTTTTTTTTTTTGCATATTGCTGTTTGATTTTTATTTATTTAATGATTTATTTTCAATCAATGTAAAATAGTCTTAATGGTCCTAAAATAGGCTTAATTGTCTGGTAACTTTACGATAAGGTCCCCTTAGTTACCATTAGTTAGAGCATTAACTAACAATGTGCAAGTTGATGTTATCCTTGATAGTTAATCAAATTACAACTCTTCATTGTTGGTTCATGTTATCTCAGGTCCATTAAATACTAACATACAATTTTTGATTCTAATCATGTATTAGTAAATGTTGAAATAAACATGAATTAATAAATGCTTTAGAAGTATTTTTAATTGTTAGTTCACATTAATTAATGTAGTTACCTCATGTTAACAAATGAAATCTTATTGTAAAATGTTGCTAATTTTCTTTAACCAAAATAAAAAAATTAAAATTTGGATTTTTTTTTTCTGTGTTAAAAGTCCTAGTGAGCTGAATTTCAGGAGATTTGTGCCTTTAAAAGTCAATATCATATATCTTTGCAGTGTGCATGTTTCTTATCAGTCAGTTTAGCAATATGATGCATCTCCAACTGTGTAGATCAGGCTGTAAGATCAATAACAAAGCCTAGACTGTGACCTCATGATCATTTGAACCATCTCGCAACAAATCACAAGTCTGTTGGCACATGTGTCACGTCTGCAGCAGTAAATGTCAGCAGGCCACAAAAGCCTCGCATGCCTCCAGACACATGAGACGCCAAATCATTCTCTCACTGACAGTAAGATCTGTGTCAATCAGTCTGGTTTTGTGTGCAGCGAGAAAGTCGGGAGGTTCCCCTCGTGGGATGGAGCCGTGCGATTCAGTCCGGATCCGTTCTCAATGGAAAGGCCTCGGTGCATCAGACTCCAGTTAGATTGCGGTAGAAGAGGCCAATCGGGAAAAAAGCGTGATTCAAGGCTGTCTAATTTTACAGCAACTGTGATCCATCAGGCAGCGGAGATGTGACAGTGGAAATGAATGATCGTGGCAGACAGGTGGCTCTTAGCGTACGACTGATTTACGCTGCACGGGCACCGGACGAAGATTTATGGAGTGAACATGATCATGTTCATTATGACTGTCACCTCACGACCATTTCTCTCTATTTCAACTGGGGTCACTTTTGTGGGAGCTGGGGAATTAGAGGAGATGGAGACAGGAAAGACTACTGCTGGAAAGCAGCCTGTTTATCACAGATCTACCACAAACCGGAACTGTTAATATGAGGAAATTGGTTATGATTGGTTGTGACGGCATTTTATTCTGAATATTGTGAAAAATGCTGTTAAATAAGGATTCCTTTTTTTTTTTTTGCAGAAAGTGCACTTTCTGAAAAAAAATCTGTAAAATTTACGGTAAAAAACCGGCAGCTGTGGTTGCCGGAATTTTACCGTAAAAGATACGGTAGCAACGTTTTAGGTTTTACGGTTTTAACTTAAATTTACAGATAAATACCGTAATTTCATGTAATGTCCAATACAGTTTTTCACCGTATATAGTAGGGGAATTTACCGTAAACCATTTAACAGGTTTTTACTGTAGCATTTTTACAGTCTTTAACCGTTAAATTCACGGTAATTTTTTACAGTGTGCTGACTGTCAACGTCTGGAGGTCGAAGTATATTGTATGCAGTATTTTTGTTTTAGTTTTTGTTTATTTTTTATGATATTGCAATTTTTGCAACTTGCGTGATTTCTAAGAATTCATATTAAATACACATCAAATGTAAACTGATCACATTAATATAATATACAAATGTAATTAATGTGATCTATTTAATAAATGTGTATAAAACATATATATTTGTGTTTATATATTATAATTTTATTTAGAAAAGAAAAAGAAAAATGTTATGCCAGAATGGGTAATAGCTTTGCAAATTTAGCCTAATTAGACTGTCTAGTTAGTTTGGGACCAAATGTTGGTTTGTGGTTATTGATAAAATCATATTTTTTTCTTAAAATAATTTGGGTAACAGCATTGAATGGTTAAACTAGTCAAATGCAGTCAACACTAAAATGTGTGTAAAATTGAACAAAACAGAATAATATGTGGCAAAATAATATATTATTAAAATTATATTTGGATTGCAGCATTGGTTATTACTCTTTACATATTTAATACAGTATTAAATGATGGGCAAACAGTAAATGAGCACCATTTACACCATATTTACTGTAAATGTTGATTTTTGGATGCTGCTAATCTCAAAATGGTCCATTCTGAAGCACTAGACTCATCAGTTTTGTCTCTGTGTTGTAGTAATGCCATATAACAGCGCCCATCACTGTGTAGTTGAGGTGGAGAACTTCCTGCTTTTATTGGGTGGAGAAGACCAGTGGAACCCTAATGGTAAAACATGAATAAGTGTGACTTCTATGTACAGCTGAATACAACAACTTTATGCTGTCACAGACATTGATTTCCTTATAATTCAGTGCATGTGCCTGAAATGTTTTATAGTATATTTTTAAACAATATTTATAATGTTACTGTGTGAATAAAACTAATATGTATATCATCTTCACAGGCAAACACAGCACTAACTTTGTAAGTCGGTATGATCCGAGATTCAATAGCTGGATACAACTACCGCACATGCAGGAGAGGTATGATGCCTTCTAAAAATGACTTATTATTCATAAAATAATGAGAGCTCTTCATAAAATGGCTATGATTATTTCTTAAGCCTTTGTGATGAATTTTCCGCTCTTGGCTGCGACGGGGATATTTGCTGTAAACAGTCTCTACGTTGACTGATTTTAAGAGACGATCTTTTCATCTTGTCTTTGTTTCAGGAGAGCGAGTTTCTTCGCTTGCTGCCTGGATAAGCACTTGTATGTTGTTGGGGGAAGGAACGAGACAGGTTATCTGTCTAGCGTTGAAGCCTTTAACCTTGAGACAAACGAATGGAATTACGTTTCGTCTCTTCCACAGCCGCTGGCTGCGCACGCAGGTGCCGTGCACAATGGGAAAATATACATCTCAGGTTTGACGATACACCTCACCCAAACAGCGAATTAATCAAAGTGTCTGAGACGGTACTAACAGTTGCCATGTTTGAACTAAAATATCCACTTACTATTACCAGCACAGTTCAATTTGATTTGTTAGAGGTATTTTGAACACTAAAACAGCTACTTTCATTTTAAATTCAACATAAAATGGCAAACATTATTCTTTGGAACAACGTGCACTTATGAATCATTTCTGTAGCCTAAACAATAGAGCATTGTGCTTGCAACACCAAGGTCATGGGATTGATTCCCAGGGAATGCATGAACTGATAAATAAGTTTATATCTTCAATGCAATGTGAGTCACTTTGGATAGAAAACAAATCAGACCAGAATTTGTGTATTAACCCTCATGTTGTTTTCCGGTCTTTTTGACCCGGAGAGGATTTTCTTTTGCTAGTTAATGTTATCACGTTATTGGACCAAAACTTACTAACTTTGCTCACACAGGGTATTATATTTGTACTTTTTTTCGGGGTTATACTTATGGTGGTTCCGATCAAAAATGACTGGCATACCATGCAATATTATTGCCAAATCTTGGATTCAATCTTTTTATCAACTTGTTTTCCGTTTTTATCTCTTTTTGAAACTGATTGATCGCGGGCTTCACTGATCTGAGATAATACACCTCAGCTTTTGAATGAATACTGCCAAAATTATCCAAATAATGCTTTTTTCACTCAAAAACTGAGGTGCATAAACTCAGATCAATGAGGTCTACAATCAATAATTTCTAATAAAAAAAAAAAACGCAAGTTGACAAAAACATTGAATCTAAGATTAGGTGATAATATGACATATGCAAGATTTACAAGCAATTTTTAAAAGACTGGTTAGTTTTGACCGGGAGCAACAAATTAGATTTTTCAGCACATAACAAGGGTTAAGAAAGTAAAAACCGTCAAGTTTTAATTCCATATTGACTTGATTTTTTGTAAATCTCTTTTTGTAAATGTGTGTCCTTATGTTGAAACTGGTATTGTGTATGTTATGCTTCAGGTGGCGTTCACAATGGTGAATATGTGTCTTGGCTGTACTGCTACGACCCTGTGATGGACGTGTGGGCTCGGAAACAGGATATGAACACCAAGCGAGCCATACATGCTCTCGCAGGCATGAACGACCGCCTCTACACTATTGGGGGAAACCACTTAAAGGGTAATTTCTATAGCCGTAACCCAAATCTCAGCAGCGGTGGAGGCACATACTGTGTATGCAACAGTAATCAATACAGTTTCTTTTTAGTGATTCAATTCCAAGCTTACTAAAGTAACACTTTTACGCCTCCGAGTAAGAGCTTGGCATATACGCTAGGGGTTTCCCCTGATCTCTTTCTCTGTGTGTAGGATTCTCTCATTTGGATGTGATGCTGGTTGAATGCTACGACCCTAAAGCAGATCAGTGGAGCATCCTGCAAACGCCCATCTTAGAGGGACGCAGCGGGCCTGGATGTGCTGTTCTTGATGACAGTATTTACTTAGTGGGAGGCTACAGTTGGAGCATGGTAAACACATATTACACTTAAATGCGATAGATAGATAGATAGATGGATAGATGATAGATAGATAGATAGATATTTAATTTGATCCATTTTTAATTATTTAATATAAACAATTGTGTATATGTACTGTTTTTGTTTTATAGAAAAAACATGTATTAAAATAATGAATAACTAAAAACCCAAATGAAATTAATAAATTTTATTATTATTTATTTATCATTTATTTATTAATTTTTTGGCTAAAACATCTTTTCAATTTGTGTGTGTATTTACCATGCCCAGCCAAAACAATATGAATGTGTAAAAATGAAATAAAAAAAATATAAAATGCCCTTATATATTATCAAATGTAATTAAAAAATTTTTAAGAAGTGTGTAATTTTTGTCGTTAAAGTATCTCAGTTTAATATGCAGAGTTAACTGTATGTCATTTGTAGGTTGATTTCCCCCCAAAAAAAGGTGTTATCAAAACATTGCTCTGTTTGATTAAACTTTTCAACCACTCAAAATTGCAAAATGGGCTCGACCAATGGTGGGATGTCGGGGTTGGGACTATCTGTTTGACTGACCAATGGCAGATGGCTTCAGGAAACCTGTTCGGAAACAACCGCAATGTTTGCAATTCTGATAATGATAGTAATGCAGAAATGACACACTTCCCCATCAACTAAAATCTTTCAGGATATGCATGAAAAAGCATTTTGAAGCATTGAATGAAATATTGTGTGAATAACTTGTCAAATGTCTCTTGCAGGGGGCGTACAAGTCATCCACCATTTGTTACAGCCCAGAGAAAGGCACATGGACAGAAATGGAAGGAGAAGTGGCTGAACCTTTAGCTGGACCGGCCTGTGCCACAGTCATACTGCCAGCCTGTTTACCATTTAACAAATAACTATATAGAATGCAGAATAATTCAGCTGAGAAGAGGAAAAACCTGTCGGGATGGAAAGTCATTCGCTAAACGAATCAAATAAATGAGGAGACTCTCCCTATGGAACGCCCCCAGCTTTTGAACAGGAGGTGATGAGGTGTACAGATTATTATTTTTTTACTGGTCTGACAAGAGCACTTTGTTTCTTTCATACCTACCAGTTTTAAACTGATATAATCATCGACTTTACGTATTTGATGCTCACGTGTGTTGACATTCAGCTGCTCACATTCAATCATTTTTTTTATCATAAATGCTTTGACATAGCACGCATAATTTTTTTCCGAACCAAATCGATATCGCTTCCATACGTACTTTGTATTTTGTGGAAACCGCCGATCAAAGACAATGTTGAAGTGGGTTGACAAAGGAATATTCATGTTTTTCAAGCAAAACTCATGATTCTGTGTACACTGTAGAGTAGATATCAGCTATTCAATATATATCACACCATGTATGCTTGTTAGATATTGTCGCCATACTTGAGTGGCATATTGTTATTTGTACAGATGAGAGGGGAAAAATGTCAATTATATAAAAAAAACACATTTCAGTAAAACACAAGTTATGATTTATTGTTTGAACAATCAGTATATTATTTATTTAGCCATGTGGTATATATGCATGGCGTGAAGTGGAAAGCTTATTGTGTTTTACTGTGGGTACATATTTGTTTATGTTAATATCTGTTCATATCTCACAGTGCCTATTTTTAGCATCAGGCTGCTTTATTTCATAAAATTTCCCATTATAAGAATCAAGAATTTTAAATTGAGCCAAAATCACATACATTTTTGGCCTGACTGGTTTCTCTGAGACGTGATATGAAATCTGAATTTGTTGCACTGGTGTTTGTTGGCCCTTTTGATGAGAAAGGGAATGTTTTTCATTGTTGTAAATAATCGCTTGCAGTGGAACATTTTTGTGCTCATAGGATTTATTCTCAAATCCTGTTATGTTCTTTACATTTAGTCTATGAAAATAAAACTGAATTTCTGGATCAATAATCTGTCTGAGCTCCCCCACATCAACACAACACTGCTATCTATCTAAAATTGTTTATGTGTGTTTGCAGTATTACAACAACTGACCCATTACTCTGTTCTCTACAGTGTGCAATAATGTGTTTCATTTACATATTGGAAAGTATTTTGTTAAATACAACATCAAACAGGTCTGATAAAAGTCATTTTAAGGCCCAAGTACATATAAAACATCTTGAGTGTTACTCAAGCATGCATGCTGTATATTTTCTCTGAAAGTCAGAAGAGAATGTACATGACTTTGGCAGACTAAAGGTAAGGTCTGAAGATCAGTTTCAAACCGCAGGTCACATTTCAAGGACTGAAATACTTGCCATCTGTAAATCAATTATTAATTTTGTATTTTTAAATATATACAGTAGCCAGAAACCAGGTTTGGTAACTATTTAAGTTTTTGTAAAGTGATAGCATCCTGTTATTATACAATGAGTCCCAAAGTCTGAGATCACCAGTGAAAATGCCTGTATTTTAACTCCAATTCAATTGATTAAAAAAAAATTTTTATTTATTTTTTTTAATCCAGGACAAACATACTTTTTGTAAATTATAATGCAATCATTAATTACAGTATCTGTTAGTTAAAAATCAATGGTTTGATATTTTTGTATGCTACCTTTTACCAATGTGCGGTAAAAAAAAATTTTTTTAATAAATATTGTTTTCCCTTTGCAGCAATAATAACGTTGTTTATGCTAACAAAGTGAACACTAACTACAATAATATGAACTAACAATGAACAATATTTTTAAAGGATTTGTTAATCTTATTTAATGTTTCACCTTATTTCTACATATACTGATTCATTCTAACATTAAAAAGTTACATACATTAATGCATTATAAGATGAGCTATAATAATGCATATATAAATTACCAGAATTAACACATAAAAGTTTATAAAAAATGTTATATATATATATTATACGCTATAAAAATGTTTAGTTCTGTTAACATTCATATTTTAACGTAAAGAGCCTTGTTTGTTGCCCATGGGATTTATGAGTACAGTAATATTTTCTTCAGTGGATAAATTCAGGCAGTCCTGTCATAAACTTTCCTGTACAGCAGGTGGCAGCGGAGCATCAGACCGCGCATGCGCGTCCAAACAGAGACGAAGACGTTTCTGTGTACATGTGACCCTGCATGTGATAGGAAATTAATGTAGAAATAAAGTAACGCCTCATTTATTCATTTGTCCATTAATGCGGCACAAAAATTATAATGGATCGCGAGTGGTTTGATCCCTAATAAATTACTGTACAACTAAACGTCAGGTCTCTTTGTTTATGACCAGTGTTTGTAAGATTTAACTACATGTTGACGCTGTCACATGCTGTCTTAGACTTTGAACCCAAAGCCCATCCAATAAACTCCTCTAAAAGCTTGATATAAGCAAAGTTAGATTTGCCAGTCAGAAGGTCTCTTGATACACGTTCACCATGCCACCCATGAAGAACAGCAGTGTGAAAAGGTAGGCTAAGTCCTGAACTGACAGAAATCTAGAAATCAATTGAATAGAAAACAAAAATGCAGCTGTTTACTGTGTCTCGATGACAGTTTGAACCCTATATTTTAACTGAACTATTGAACTACTGTCACTAATTGTTGTCTCTAAGATTGTGTGGATGTGTTTTTTCCTCAAGACCAAAGCTAGACTGGAGGTTTCTCCAAAGATTCTGCCGAATTCTGAAGATCCTTTTCCCATCCTGGTCCAACCAGAGTGTCCGAATGTTCATGACGCTTCTTGGAGTCGCGCTTTCAGGTATTAAACTTATAACATCTGGACTGAGTTATGACAGCTTGTTTTGTCTTCTATCTGTGTTGGTTTCATATTTTTCTTCTGTTTCAGTTCAGCTTGTGATTTATCAAGTGGGTCTTATTCCGAGTCAGTTCTACGAGGTTCTGTCTGAGAAGAACTATGGGAAGTTCAAAGATCTGGTGCTGTTTGCGGTTATGCTCATTCTGATTAATTCAACGGTGAGTTTGGTCTGTTATTTATATAGTTTTCTGCAAGTCGCTTTTGGTAACAGCAACTGCTAACTACTCACTGTACTTAGTGGTAACACTTAGCTACTCTATTATGATATCTGGGTACAATTTTTATCCACCTTTTTCTTCAACACAAAGTAAGCCTATGGGTGAGACTTCCGGTTCATTAGCCGCTATAGGTAAATAACGAGGAGAATAACAATGTGCAGTAAACGGTCAAACTGTTTGCTCTACAAACCAGTGTGTTCATAATTAAGATAATACATTAAAATAATATGATAAGACACACCAATATCAAGCAGCAAAACGAACTATTTTGTTCAGTTAAAAATAGCTGGACGGAGTGGACGCAGATGAGACC